CCTGGTCTTGAGGTGCTTAGAAGGGTTGCAATTGCTATTTGTAATAAGGGGAAGGACTCTAAGCCCTCAATCCTGCTTGTGCTGAGCCAAAAAAATGTTAAAATCTGCTGCAAGTATTGTTTTCCTCCTTATGCCCCAACATCCACACACAGAAGGCCAATTTCCAAATAATTCCTTGATTTTCCTGGGAAGAGAGGCTGGGTGTGGCACCTTCTGTGGCACCAGTCTGTCACTTAACTGAGCAAAAACCAGTTAAGGGAACTCAACCAAGCCACCTCGAGGTCCTCAGAACAGGCTTGCTACTGGTTATTTCACTCCCTCTTGCTTTAATTTTATGGGAACCTCCTTATTAATTCTCTGGGTCCAGTGATCAAAAAGTTCAATCTGCCTATAAATACAAAATTCTAAAAACAAAAATTAACCCAAGGGGGTTAATTTGTTCTTTTGTAAAGAACAAAGCCAATTGAAAAATGCTCTATGTGGAAAAATAAATGGAGAAAAAGGAAAAAAGGGAAGAAGATAAAGCCCCAACTCCAATGTGTGGGAATTAACTGGTCATTATAGGATTATTTTTGTGTTTATTTCCCACTTTAAAAGGAAAATGAAGATTGCAGCTGCTGCCCCACCTCCCACAACTCACAAAGAAATGCAAATAATTTTCATGCCTGGATTCAGGCCATGGACTACCCTGAAATCTGTTGCCTGACTGAGGGTCTGATCAAAATCTAGGATTTCCATGTGCCTTCGCCCCATCAATAATTGAAGATCAAGGAGGTTTTAATTGAAAGGGTTCAGCACATTCTTCACTGGAGAAGTGATGGAGAGCCCACAGCAGATAAGGCTTCCAAATGAATCTGGGTGTCTTTGTAGAGCAGGCCAATGGATGTTTCTCCTGCTGCTATCAATAATGGGAATCTGTGCTCCACAGCTTGGCTGCTGAGTGATGTTTAATTAAAGCAGAGTTCACAAATTAAACAGCAGCTTCTCCGTAGTCCCGTGTGGGTGTGACACAAAAATAACTTTACCTTTAGGGATAAGGAGTTCAGCACTCCCCTGGTTTTGGTATCCAAATCAAATTGTGTCAAAACACAAAGTGCCCAAATGTTTGTGAGACTTGAAGTGCTTTCCCCTTAAATAAAATTTTCAAGAGAACACCAGCACTAGACCAGAGACCAATATTTAACATGGAGTTATGTGCATGTGCTTCCAAAAAAGTTCTAGAAGCCACTAAAATGTCTAAAAATGCAAAACTCATCCTTCACAGTGGAAACTGGGAATCTTCAGCACGGAGAGGAAGGGTCACTTTGCACGTGGATTCAGTGTTGGTGTCAGCAGGACACTGGGGAACACTGGACGTGTGCAGGTGGGAGCCCAGCCAGGCTGGTTTTCATGCTGGGATTCCTTTCCAGCTTCTTTCTCTCCAGTCCTGGTAGGACACAGCTCCAGCGACCCCAAAATCCTGATTTGTGTGGGTTTGTTCCTGTTTGCACTCGGGCAATCCAGGATTGCTGCTGGGATGAGGGGCTGGACTGACCCCGGGGTGCATCCATTCCCTGGGTGCTTTTGGGAGGCAAACCCTTGCCTAGATGCCTTTCACAACATCCTCATTTCACCCCTTTCCCACCCAAAATATCTCACAGCTTTTAGTTATTACCCACAAGTGTATTTTTTTCCCCCTGCACAAACACACTGGATTTGTGTATTTAGCCCGTTTCCCCCTGCAGATGATCCCAGCAAGTCCTAAGAGGAACAAGCAAGTGGTTAACACATTTCTAAATGTTTATAAAACTGTAAGAACTGATTAATATTTAATGGTGCCAAGAGGTTTTGTCTACTGACATCTGCAATCAAACGGTTTCAAAGCAGAGCACAATTCCCGGGCAGAGAGGCATAAATAGGATGCTATTTGCCTGTTCTGCACCAATTATTCCTCCAGACTGCACAGAACCAGTGATGGGAATAATTATTTTCAGACAAAGAAGTTCATTAAACAATAGAGAAAAAATTATGAAGGGAAAAATAATAATTAAAGGAATTTACAGTGAAGATTTCTGCATCTTTTATAAGGTGGGATATTTAGACCACCATGGCTTCAAGAGCTGGAGGGCTCCAAACCAGGATCTTTTTCCTGTGCTGGGTTGTGGAGATACCACAGTTATTTTTCAGCATCCTGGAACAAAATTCCAGGTGGGAACAAAGTGGGAAGCGTTACAAAACACAAACAGGATGCATTTGCCAGGGAGCTGAGTCAGGCACCAGAATTTTCTCCAGTCATCAGAGTTTGTGCTCTCCCCATACACATTCAGGCTTTACTGCTGCTTTTTTAGGATTAAAGTATCCTTAACTAATCTGGCATGGCAGCAAATGATGAGCTGTTAATTATTTAGTTATTAGAAGGTGAATTTCTGGGATGTGGATGTTCTGCACAGGTGCTCCCCTTGTGAGGGGAGCGGAGGGCTGGGAGGGGGTGTGAGTGCATCTCAGGGAAAGCATCCAGCACCTCCCTGGGCGTTCCCTGGGATGAGATCTCAGCCTGATCCAGACCCAAAGAGCAGAAAAGGCCCCCAGGACACTTCTGGCTTCACTTGCAGCTGCAACTGGGGTGAAAGTTTCTCCCGAGCCTCCCTCTGCCAGCTTTTACTGCATTGCGTCAAAGGCAGCGCCTGGATTTTCCAAGGTAAGGCAGTGCTGGCAGCAGGATCCATGCCCCAGCCCCGGGAGCAGCTGGGGGCACAGGAACCCAGCCCAGCCTCCCCGCACCGGGCTGGGCAGCAGGGCAGGGCTGGGGGCCCAGCCTGGTGGCCACTGCAGAGCCAGCCCTGCTGCAGCTCCTGCTGGGGCTGACTCAGCCCTGCGGAGCTGCAATGCATTAAAAATAACCGAGGGAGCAGGGATCAGCCTGGGAACGACGGCAGCAGGGAGGGGAGAGCTGCTGCAGCCCGGGGGGTGCTGCTCTGGAGCAGCCCTGGCTGCACAGGGAGCTTTGCTTCCCAAAACCGAGAGGGGTGCAAAGGGCTGAGGGAAGGAGTTTGTCAGCAAAAAAAAAAAAAACAACCATTGTCAAAGAGGATGAAAATTCGGGGTTTGAAGAGTTAAAGGAACTCAGAGTGCTTGGAGAAAGGCAGGATTTGATATTCATGGAATGGTTTGGGTTGGAAGGGACCTTAAAGCCCATCCAGTCCCACCTGGCCTGGGCAGGAACACCTCCCACTGTCCCTGGCTGCTCCAAGCCCTGTCCAGGCCTTGGGCACTGCCAGGGCTCCAGGGCAGCCCCAGCTTCTCTGGAAATTCCACCCCAACCCCTCAAGATCCTCTGAAAGGGAACTCCTTCCCCATATCCCATCCAAACCTCCTCCCTGTCAGTTTGAAGCCGTTCCCCCTTGTCCTGTCCCTCCACCCCTTGCCAGCGCTCTCTCCAGCCGAGCTGTCCAGCTCTGCTCTGTCTTTCATGGTCCTGGCGGGCTCTGACCAGGCTGGAACAGGATTTTCCTCCTCAGGAGCAGCCCCTCTCTCCCAGCTGAGTGCCAGGCGTCCCTTCCTGCTGGGGGAGTTCCCAGAAGCAGCTCTCATTTCCCAGAAGCAGCTCTCGTTTCATTTCTTATCTCCGAGCAGCAGCCCCAACAGTCTGCTGGGGGAGCTGGGGCTGTCACACCCCGTGGATGCAGCTCCCCTCCATCCCCAACAGCTCTGGAAGCTCTCTGTGAAGAGCACTGCAAGCTCCCCTCAGCCCTGTCCTGGAGAGGGAAAATAAAATCTGCTTGGTAACAGCAGCTCTGCGTAAATACAGGGAGAAAAATCTCCGTTAAAAGAGGAGGGAAATGTGAAAAGAAATATTTAAGAGGCGTTGCTGAAAGAAGTGAAAATTATTTTACTTCTGGTTCTCAAAAGCATCAAAATCCTAGGAAAGTAGGGAAATAAAGATTGGAAATGATACTGGAGCTGTGAGTTAATGGAATTCCTGCTTTTCTGAATGCTTTGACCAAGTTTCTTTTTCTTTCTCTTGCTGCTTTTCTTGGGAATGTGGAAGAAAATAATGATCTTAAGTGCTTGCTTCATCCATCATAATATTTTTAATCACCCTTTAAACACTGAAAAGGGAGATGATTTTGGTACCCCCCTAAAACTTGTGAAAAAAAGAAATTTCCTTTCCCTCTGAACAAAGCCATTGAGGAGAACCAATGCAAATCAACTGATACCACACCACCAGTGCATAAAATCAAGTTACCCCAAAATCCTGTGCAAAAACTCATCCAGACAAATCTTTCTGTAAAGTTTAGTGCAGCCATTAATGCCTATTTTAACTCGAATTTCCATGGGTTTCGTTTATTTAAACTGGTTTAATTTGCAGCATTAGGCCAGTGCTTGCCTTACAAGGTTTAATTTTCTGTATCAGCTTTAGGCAATTGAACGTTGACAAGCTCAGAGCACAGGACATGGCTTGGGGAATTGTCAGGCTGTGCTGCTGTTGAGATGCTCCTTTCTTGTGCCTTTTTTAGCTCAGTCAAAACTTTAAAAGGCCCTGGGAAGTTCTCAGAAGAAAATGAGCTTCTTCAGACATGGCTGACAGCACCTGGGGGAGAGAGGCAGCTCCTTCCCCTACACCACCCATCCTTCCAACTGCTCCTCGTGTTTTGATTTTAATGTTATTTTTGAAGATAGTCTTTGCTCCAAGCCTCACCTACACCCTGAATTGTTCTTCCTTCTCATCACTGATCCCACAGACACTGAACAGCCTCCTGCCACAATTTAACTGCTGCATTTCTTTTCCCCTCTGTATTGGTTTGATAAAATTCCCATTTTTCAGAAGGGAGCTCGTGCTTGTTGCACCCTCAGCCAGTGAGACCCATCCCAGCCACCACCACACCCCAGGGTATTGTTAACAAATGTGTGAAATTTTACACCCCAAGAGATTTTTCCCATTTCTCATTCACAAGATGAGTGGGATAAGCCCCTTTATCAACCTTTTAAGGGCATCAGCGACACAGGACATGCACGAGGAATCCGTGTAAGCATTTCTGAACTTTATTGACTGCTTTATTGCACGTACTTAATGAAGCCTCCATCACTTCCCCCACCCACCGTTTCCAGAATTAGTTTAAATGCAAGTTAAAGGTAACCTTTCATTCCCACCACTTTTTCCCCCCCAATTTGAAATGTTAAGGTTCTGGGTCACCCAGGAAGGACAGAAGCCCTGAACTCATACGTGGAACCATGCGGCACTCGGGGAGCAAGCCTTGGGTGCTCTGCAAGCAAACTCAGACTCTGCACAGGGAGAAACGTCATAATCATGAACTGGAACCTCAGTGATCACTGAATTAAATAGGTGAGACTGCAGCTGGAGCTCAGCCAGTCGTTGGTTCTGATGGAAAGCTGCCCTCAGATCAAGCCTTCTTCTTGCCTTCGCTCTCTTCCTTTCCTGCTGCTTCTTTCTCTTCCTTCTCTTCCTTCTCCTCCTCACCAGCTTCCTCAGCAGCTTCCTGGGACTCCTCCCCTTCTTCTGCTGCTGTTTCTTCCCCTTCTCCTTCCTCTTCCTCACCTTCTTTGGCTTCTTCTGATTCCTCCTTAGCACCTTTGAAGGACACAAAGACATTTCACATCCAGGTACAATTCCTGACCCCAGTTCAGCGGGAATCCCCTTCAACCCCACACATTTTGGCAGCTACAGCAAAACTGCACAAGCAGTTTCTCCTGGATTTCAGGGGGAGTGAAACACTTCATAAAAACAAATCATGGCCTTGAAAAATATCAGTTCTGAACTCAGTGCTTAAAGCCTTATCCAAAGACCTGAATTATCTTTCACTGCTCTCCAACTGGCTCTTTAATTAGGTGTAATTTCACTATCATTAAACTTTACAGTAACAAAGCCCTCACAGTTCAATGGCCACCAATGCCTGGCAGGGGAGTGATGGTGCCATGCACTGAACCCAGTGATTCCAGCCCCACACATCAGCTGATGTTCCCATTATCTCGGGCTGCTCTCTGGGAATTCATATTTAGCTCAGGATGTCCTTTGTCCTTCTTTTTGAGGATGTCTGTAACACCTGAACATTATCATTGGGAGTTTTGGAAACCTATAATCTGCCTGATTTGAACACCTGACCTTATCTTCCATTCAATATTCAGACTTTCCTGGTAAATTCCATGTGCTTAACCCCACCATCCTTTGGCTCATAGGACTAGAAAGGGAAAGAGCTTTAATCATAAGAAATAATCATTGGGATTTCTGAGGTTTATCCCACAGGAGCAGAGTGCAGCATGAATAAAAGGGAACAAAAAGTAACGCTAAGTACCTTCCTCCTCTTCTTCAGCCTCTTCTCCTGCTTCTTCCTCTCCTTCCTCTTTCTCCTCCTCCTCACCCTCTTCTGCAGGAGCTGCCTTGGCTTCCCCTGCTTTAGCAGCCTCGATGGTTTCCTCGATTTCAATCTGCTCCTCCTGGACGTGGCTGGAGTAGTAGGTGGGGAAGGAGCGGGTGGTCATCAGGTAGGAGCTGGCCTGGAGGCCGCTGTAGGCAGACCTGCCGAAGGTGGGGGCACTCTGGCTGTAGCCACTGGTGATGCTGCCCACGCTGGTGAAGCTCAGCCGGGTCTCTTCCCCCTCCAGCAGTTTCCTAGCAGGGGAGAAATAAAAGCAAAAAGAAATGAGTTGGCTGTGCTGCAGCAGGGCTCAGCACCACGAGCCCTGCAGACTGCACATGTGGTAATTAATGCAGGGCTAGTTGTGCACTATGTGCCAAAGCCACTCTAGTTTCTTGGAATAATTTCTTCAGGAGTGTCCTAATACCTTTCCTTGTTGGAAGGAACAGGAAAACCTCTCTAGAGCCAGGTTCCTCTGGCAAGTGAAACTAGAGGTGTATTTTGCCGCCCTGCAGCTGTAACAATTTGCTGCTGAGCTGTCGGACAAGGCTTGGAGCTGCTCTCTCAGTATTCCCCCTTGTGGCTTCCACAGAAATTCTGTTCCAGCATCGAAATCTCTCAGTATCTGAGACAAAATATCACAGTTATTTAGCATCAATTCTACTGGAAAATATTTAATTTGTTGATTTATAAGTTAGGGAAAAACCCCTGTTCTTGAAGGTATTTGAGGGACTTCCTATTTTGAGAATGAGCCATTGGTATTGAGGAATTCTATTGATACAAAATCTCTTCCCTGAGTACAGAACAGGTACTTTTATCAGTCAGGATGGACAACTGAGGTAATTTATTGCCAAGCTAAAAATTCTGTGTGCACATAGGGAGGAACTGATTAAACTCTGCCACAGATCTATGAAAATTTCTGCTGGGGGAAAGATAAATAACCTGAATTCTCCTGAAGAGAATGGTAACTGCTCTGAGCTCTGGCTCATTAAAACATCCCCCACCATACCTATAAGCTGCAATTTCGATGTCCAGGGCCATTTTCACATTGAGCAGGTCCTGATATTCCTTCAAGTACCGAGCCATCTCACTCTTTGTGGTTCTCAGCTCGTTCTCCAATTTGTTGATTGTATCCTGTTGGATGGAACAATAGTGACAGCGTAAAATTCTGTTCTCTCAAGTCTAGCAATAATCACAAGGAATTTCTCCAATCCTTTTAATTTAGTCTTGCTCTAGAAGACAGAAACTGCACAGCTCCCCCTCCATCCTCAGCCAAAAAGCATCATTTAACACCTTCCTGGCAGGTTTTCTACTCCACATTATGCCAGTCCTATTTAACACAAAGAGCCAAATTTTCTGGTACCCAAGTGCTAAAGCATCCGTGAAATTTGTGTATTGTTTCATTATGATTTTGGCCTCTATGTGCTTTTTCTAATTTTAGTTTAGGAATATCCATTGATGATCCTTGTGGGTCCCTTCCAACTTGGCATATTCCATGATTTTTTGGGATAGTTCAGGCTGCATCAGTACATGGACACATGGATATTGGGCTTTATCAGGGGCATTTTGCATTCTGATTTTGTAACACCTCACACTTTAGATAAGCGTACCAGAACCAATGTCTGGGATGATTTTGGTAATTCAGATCCTGATTTGGGTCGGTATTTCCACACCACATCCTGTTTTACAGCTCTGTGGCATTCTGCACTGTGATTGCAGGATGCCTTATCTGCAGCACAGGAACAAACCAGGAGGGATGCCCCCAACAACCCCCCCACAAGCCTGATCCCCTCATCTGTGAGACTCTGCAGACCCCAACTCTCCTCATGCAGAGCCCAGCAAACCCTGAACCCCCTTCACCTGCAGCATCCTTCAAACCCCAGCATCCACCCCTTCACCTGCAGAACCCTTCAAACCCCAACATCCACCCCTTCACCTGCAGCATCCTTCAAACCCCAATGTCCATCCATTCACCTGCAGAGCCCAGAAAACCCTGAAACCCCTCACCTGAAAACCCTGTAAAACCTGACCTGTCGCCTGCAGAGCCCTGCAAACCCCATCATCCCCTCAACTGCAGAATCCTTCAGACCCCATCATCCCCGCATCTTCAGAACCCTTCAGACCCCAACTTCTCCTGACCCGCAGAACCCTGCACAGCCCACCATCCCCTCCCCTGAGGGACCCCGACCCTCCTCCCTGCAGAGACCCTTCCAGCCGCCACCCCCTCACCTGCAGCGCTGAGATATCCGCGCTCTGCTTCTCTTCCAGCTCCTGCAGCTGCTTCTCCAGCGCCTCGTTCATGCCGCGGGTGGCCTCGATCTCCAGCGTCTTGGCTTTGAGCAGGCGGCGGCTCTCGGACACCTCGTCCTTGGCGGCGCGCACGGCATCCGTGTTCTTGGCGGCGCTCTCGCTGAGCACGGTGAAGCGGCTGCGGAACCACTCCTCGGCGTTCTGCATGTTGCGCGCCGCCAGCTTCTCGTACTGCGCGCGGATGTCGCGCAGCGCGGCCGACAGGTCGGGCTTGGCCGACACGTCCATCTCCACGGACAGGTGCGCGTACTGGATCTGCGCCTGCAGCTCGGCCAGCTCCTCCTCGTGCACCTTCTTGAGGAAGGCCAGCTCGTCCAGCAGGCTGTCCACGCGCTTCTCCAGCTCCGCCCGCGCCAGCGCCGCCTCGTCCGCGCCCTTGCGCACCTCGAGCAGCCGCGCCTCCGCGTCCTCGCGGCTCAGCACCTCCTCCTCGTAGCGCGCCTGCAGCCCGCGCAGCGTCTCCTCCAGGCTCTCCCGCTCGCCCTGCAGCGCCTGCTTCTCGCTCGTCGCCTCCTCCGCGGCCAAGCGCAGCTCGCGGATCTCCTGCTCGTAGAGCGCGCGGAAGCGGGAGGGCTCGGCGTGCTTCTGCCGCAGCACCAGCAGCTCGGCCTCCAGCACCTTGTTCTGCTGCTCCAGCTCGTGGACGCGCTCGATGAAGCAGGCGAAGCGGTCGTTGAGGTCCTGCAGCTGCGCTCGCTCCTGGCTGCGGATGGACTTGAGGTCGTTGCTGATGGCGGCCACCTGGCTCAGGTCCAGGCTGTCCACCGAGTGCAGCAGCGAGCTCGAGGCGCTGGAGGTGGCGTAGCTGCGGCGCACGGACACGGAGGACACGGGCGCGGACAGGCTGGAGTACGCGGAGCGCGCCGAGCCGAAGCCGCCGCCGCTGCGCACCGACACATGGATGCGCGGGCTGTCCGCGTAGCGCCGCTTGTAGGACGGGAAGAACGGGTCGTACCCGTACGAGCTCATGGCTGCGGGGGCTCCGGCGACGGCTCTGCGGCGGGCGCCGCCCGCACCCCGATATTTATGCGCGGCGAGGGCGGGCGGAGCGGCCTCCGGGCGGGGACGGGGCGGGGCGCGGCGACATCGGCGCGGGGAGGCGACGCCCGGAGTGGTCCAGGCACCGCCGCGGGAGGTGATGCCCGGAGAGATCCAGGCATTCACTCCCTCACTGCTGTGATGCCCTGAGCGGCACCGGCCGGATCTCGCCCCGGCGATGCCTGGACAGCTCCGGCCATCACGGCAGGGAAGGGATGCCTGGACAGCTCCGGCCGTCAGGGCAGGGAAGGGATGCCTGGACAGCTCCGGCCGTCACGGCAGGGAAGGGATGCCTGGACAGCTCCGGCCGTCACGGCAGGGAAGGGATGCCTGGACAGCTCCAGGCATCCCAGCAGGGAAGGGATGCCTGGACAGCTCCGGGCATCCCCGCGGGCGCGGGGGGCTGTGGCCGGCCTGCTCTGGAACAGCTCTGGCTCGGCCTCGCCTCATCGGCTCAGCCCTGTCTCAGCCCTCCTTGGGCACATCCTCGGGCTCTCCTGGCCCATCTCCCGGCCCCCTTCAGGCCCACCTCTGGCCCTTTCAGATCCATCTCCCCTCAGGTCTATCTGCACGCCCCAGCCCGCCAAGGCTATGTTTAACCCCCCTCCTCTGTTCCACCACAGCTGCCCTGGTAGAAGCTTCAGGAATGTGCTGCAAGCCCCATGTTGTGGCTGAGGTTGCCCCAGTGAGGCTGTGGGACACCCAACCCTGGCTGCAGAGCCCCCAAACATGTAAATAGTATATTTTTTTCCCTTCAGTTTGCACTTAGCACAAGGCATGAGCGCTCTTTGAGCCCCTGCATCCTCCCCACGCCCTTTGTTACAAGTGGTCCCTAATAACCAGGTAATTAATTATAGCATCATGGAATCACGGGATTGTTTGGGTTGGGAGGCACCTTAAAGCCCATCCAGGCCCACCCTGCTACGGGCAGGGACACCTCCCACTGTCCCGGGTTGCTCCAAGCCCATCCAACCTGGTTTGGGCACTTCAGGGGAAGCCTGGCAGTGTTGTTTGTCCTTTCATTACATGGAAGCAGCAGCAGACACAGGGTGGTTCTCAGTCCTGGCACAACACGCTGATACCTGGTTCTTTGAGATTCCCTGGAGCCGAGTCTGTCTGAGACATGGATCACAGGGACAGGATATTTATCCTTGTCTAATCTGGCTAATACAGAGATTAAATTGGACAGCTGCATTGCAGCTACCTCTGGGCCAGGCTATTACCACTGGTTGATTAAAACAAAGCGGTATTTATGTAGTAGAGATTTATTAGAGGTAAATTAGAGACGTGTTGAGCACAGACTGCATGGGAGGCTCAAAAAGACAATGAGAATTCACCTCTTGGAGTCAGAAGGACAAATATATCACAAAACAGACTCTTCAAAGTTTTCTCAAGGAAGGAATAAAAGTGAGTAAAGACTGGGGGACTTTTATTAGCTACCACAAAAATGCTGAGGTGCTTCCCAAAGAAAGGGGAAGGACTTTGTAATGTGTATGAATTAATGTGCCTGTCAGTAATTGCAGTGCTAATTGGGTATTTTTGGCACAAATAAATGTTTGTTTAATAGCAGCCTTTTAGGAAAGGTAGAGCCGGGTGGATTTAATGTATTTCCTGGTATTTTCCAGTGACCTCACACAGAACATCACCTGTTGTGTGACAGCTTCTCCATGAGTTTCAGGGTATTTAAACATGAGGATCATTGAGCTGTGAAGGGCAACGGCCTCTCAGAGGTACAAAGCTGCAGTCCCTGCTCATCGGAGCTCATTCTGAGTGGAATGAACTGTACCAAGAGCTCATCAAGGCTTAAGTGTCACTTATATCCCAGCAGAGCTGCTGGGAGACTTTATTCTGCAAATCTGCAGAGTCCCCTGAAGACCAGTGCAGCTGCTCTCAGCAGCCAGCACTGCAAGCCCGGCTTCTGCCTCGATTTTTATTCACCATTTGTTTTTTAAATTCAAGTCGTGGCTGCATTCTTGCATGTCAGAGCAGCCATTCATTATTCAGAACATGCAAAGGAGAGCAGCACAGGTAGAGTCTTCTGTGCTAATCTATTTTATCTTTAGCAGAGATTGGGTTTGAAAGGGGAAGAAATGAGAAATGGAGACACTGTAGACAGGATTCCCAGCATGTTGGTCAGGGATTCAGGGAGCTGATATTTTCTGGGATAGTGAGCTCCTGCAAACTGAAATACCTTGTTCATGCCAATGGATTTATGCTAATCTGCCCTACAGCAATCGGAGCACAAGATTTAATTATTAATGCTATCATTTCTTATGCCATGTATTAATAAAGGAATGTACCTCAGCTTGTAAAAACCACTGCGCTTCAGATCCCAGCAAAACAAGCCTTGTAAGTGTAGGCTGTTAATATTCACTTTTTTTTTGAGTGGAAAATCCTTTGCTGTGTGCCAGGAGCACGGGGAGGAGGATGGGTGTCTGCAGCCACCCTGCAGTGGTGGAACCTCCATGGGATTCATGGAGCTTTCGTACTCCAAGGAAAAGAAAGTCACTCCTGAAGGTATCCTGCTCCCCAAACTCGTATTTCCAGGCACAGGGGAAATGCTGCCAGATTCCACCCTTCCCTTTGTGTCCCTTTAGTTGCTTTCTGCCTTAATGCAGAGGATAATCAAGCTCCAGGATGTGTGTTAGAAAAATCAATATTGTGAGCAGAGGAAGGGGATAAGGCAGAGCTGGTTCCAGCCAGGATGGAGTGGCCTCTGTCACTTGTCTCACCTGCAGCAGCTCAGCATTGTCCCCCTTTGTCCCTGGTGAAGCTGGAGCTGATCCCTCACTGCTTGTGAGTGTCCCCAGGTCACCAACACTTCAGGCAGAGAATCCCAAACCCAGGTTCACCTCTTGAAATCGTTCCCTGGGTGACCCAAATAATGCAAATTATTCTGAGGGATGATGCAGAAATGAAAAGGCAGCTGTGCCCCATTCCTGGAAGTGTCCAAGGCCGGGTTGGAGCCTGGACAGTGGGAGGTGTCCTTGTCCATGGCAGGGGTGGCACTGGATGAATTTTGAGGTCCCTCCCAACCCAAACCATTCCATGATTCCAAATTCCACTGCTGGCCGAGGAAAAGCAGCAACTCCACGGCAAAGCATTCCTGTTCATTCCTTTTCCTCTGCTGCATCCACAAAAAACACATCCCCACGTGCAGCTGGCATTTCCTCAAGGAAAAGCTCAGACCTGAGCCCTGTGCTGGGCCTCACTGAGCACCAGGAAATTACCTGAATGCCCCCAGTGAACTTGGGAGGGTTTGCCTTTTTATCCTTGTTTAATCAAAGAATTTCCCATCAGAAACTGCAACAGGGGCGTTTTGGGTGGAGTCTTCATTGTCTGCTGCTGCTTTTATTGCAGAAGCACAGAAGGAGCTGAGCCTGCTTAGTTGGAATTTGCACAGAAATCAAGCAGTTCTGAGTAAAAAAGAAAAAAAAAGGCAGAAAAGCAAAAACATTGTTTTTCCTTTTTAAAAAAAATTATTTTTTTACCTCACAAAAGCCCAGCTCTGAGGGAGTGGGGAATCAGGCACTCCCACAGCTAAAAATGTTCAATAGCTCTTATGTCAGGTCTTATGTATTTATCTAGAATGATATCAAAGTGTCTGAATGAGTTGAATTAAAACAGGCAAAAGAAAATGCTCTGATCTATTTTGATGAACTGAAACAAAATCTCACATTTTAGGAACTCTTCCTATATTCCAACCAGTCCTTTTAATATGAGGCAACACTCATAGGAATTTCCAAACCAAAGCAAAATTTTGTCTGCAAGGACTGAACTACACTCTCTGGGAGACTCAGAAGAAATGCAAATAAGTGTTTAATTTATCTCCTTTGAACCACTGTTTGCTTTGTTGGTGCCAGATACAGCAAATGCCTGGGCAGCTCTCATTATTTTATTATTATTTACACCAATTTCTGCACACAGTAGCAGCAATTTGCTCACTTTGAGTTTGTTCTGTCTCTTGATTACAGGAGCTGCAGAAAGCAGGCAGCCAATTCTTTCATCTGAGCTCTATCAGGGAACGCTTAATTAGAAGATTCATTAATTAGCTTTGTTTACTTGTTGGATCAGGCCTCCAAACTAGGCCGCAACATCTGATGGCAGATCCCGGGGCTGGTTCTTATCTCCCAGAATCAATTAAATTGATGTTCTGCTTTTGGTTCCAACAATTAAATATCAACTGAGAGGGTTCTTGGCCAAATCCTGGAGTGCTTTGGGTGCAAGGGACCTTAAAAAACAACTTTTTCCACGCCCTGCCATGGGCCAGGCCCTTCCTCCAGACCGAGCTGCCCCAGCCTGGCCTTGGGCGCTTCCAGGGACGGGGCAGCTTCTCCAGACAAATAAAACTCCTGAGAAAAAATAAAAAACAACCCAGCCCATTTGGAAGGAGACAATTTATTAATTTGTAGTCTCATTGCTTTAATTGCATTTCTGCCCATGTGAGCAGCAAGGCTGGACCCAACAGCCCCAGGAGCTGGGTTTAAGCTGGTCCTGACTTTAGGCCTCACTGCAGTCCCCCTCCTAAGGCCACCTGATGATCTCAGCTGAGCTGAGCTTGGTTGTGCCCCAAAAAGCTGCTCTGTGAACCAGCTCCATCCCTGCTGCAAAAATATAAGTGGTGTTTAACAAAAATCATTCTGGTTTTGTGGTGTTGGGTGAGGGCTGGGTGCTGAGGGAGCATGTGCTGGTTCAAAAGGAGAAATATCACATCGAGAAATGTCACATGTCTCATGTTTTGGGAGATGGATCCTCAAAGCAGCAGCAATATCCAGACTGAAGCACTGAAATATTTCCCTGTTTTCCCATTTTTGCTGTGCCAACTTAAGCAAGGTCCTGTTGGTGACAGGGTGAAGAGAGAAAACTGCATTTACAACACAGCTGAGAGCACATGAAGGCTCATAATGACTCCATTTCCTTCCCAAAAATTTCCAGTATGAATGAAAATAAAGACAAAACACGGGTCCAAAAGAGCATTTATTTGTGGGCTGCATGGACAATTAAAAAGCAGAGAGATTTCAGAGTTGTGGTTTTATCTGCAGGGAGCTGAAGCAGAGAATTCCAGGATGTTCTTCCTTTGGTCACAGGAAGGGGATGAACAGCTCAGGAATACTTTCCCTAGAATTCAGTTATTTCAATCTTTGGGATATTTTTTCCCCTTGCTGCAGAGGCAGCAATAAAATCCACGTAGGATGTTCACAAAGGCACCCTGGAGTGAGTGAATCATATCCCCACACGCACAAGTGAAAAGCATTTCTTAGGAAGACGTAAAAATCTCTTTATTTCCCAGTCTGGCACGAGCTGCTGCCCATAAAACACAGACTCCAGGGAGAAACAAAGCTGGGAGAGCTGTGCTGCAGTGAGGTGGCTCAAGGCTGCTGAATGTGCTCAGCTCTGCAGTCTGTGAATAAAAATCCCTGAATTCTGCAGCCAAAGCAGCTCACCTCTCACCCCAGCCCTCCCTGCAGCCTGCACACTCCTGGTGCTGTCCTTAGGGACGGAGCCCAGGATTCCTGAGGGATGGAAAAGGAATCACCTCCATCACTCAGGTTTATTTTAATATCA